CTCACCACGATGAATAATTCCCAGAAGCAGTATGCTGATCGACATCGATGTTATCACACGGTAGCAGTTGAGGACCAGGTTCTTTTGGACACACATAAGTTGGACTTGTATCACCTCCCGTCCAATCTCCGGCTTCGCTTCTGTGGTCCCTTTCGCGTGAAGACGATGGCGACACTAGTTACATTCCACTTGCGCTTACCTACTACGTGGAAGCTTCACAATGCTTTCCATGTTCAGCTACTGAATTCCTACTAGGACCCCAATCAACAGTACCAGGGACGTCAGCTATCGCCACCGCCACCTTTTCTCGTACACAATGTATCCGAGTACGAGGTGGAACGTGTCCTTGAGCATCGACGCCGACGCGGCAACACGCTCAACTTCCTGATACGCTGGAAGGAAGTTGACCCATCGGAGGAAGTTGGGTTACAAAAGCTGATATGGGCAACGCACGCCGTGCTCTTAACGATTATCTTGTCAAGTAGGGTGTTTCTCATGCCACCCAGCTTTGAGGGGGGGACGTGTGAGAGTACGATGTCCGTTCTTACCTGAACTCACTTATTCATATTTTTCCATTATCATTTTTATGCTTATTTCCTAGTTTCGTTGCTTTACTATATAAATTATAGTTTTAGCACAGAAATAGGTTGCATGCACCGAATTTCTGTTTTTTAGAGTTATCTCGTGTGATCTCGCGTGTGCGTGATTATCACCGAACTTACTCTACAAAATTCGGGAAGGTTCCGTTCCCAACGGTTCCCGATGCATGGAACATTCGCGTAACATCCTGGTTCTCGTCTTGTATCGTGCCTATATATAGCCACGTAGTTGTACCCAGGATTCATATAAAAAATTCTGAACTCGAGACTCGATCCTCACACAAGGGAAACATCGTGGTGTAGCGGGAGTAGTCGTCTACAACAACCAGGAAGAAGTGCTCCCGGCACGGCCCTTGGACGGGGCAAGGGCCCAGACATCCATGTGCAGGGTCTGAAGTGGCGCAGTAGGAGGAGGAAACGAGGAGGACCGAGGGGCGGCGCGGTGCCTGCCCACGACACAAGGGGTGCACGGCGGTGCAGACGAGGGAGGGAGAGCGGAGAGCAACGCCGGAGACCAGAGACAAGACTGTGCTGAGCCATGTGACGGAGATGGGGGAGGGCGGGGTGACCTAGACAGTGGTGCCACAGGAGCGATGTGCGAGTGAGCGACTGACACGAGCACGACGCAACTACCAGACCAGATGCAGGAACCTGGAGGGTCGAAGTGTGCAGCATGAAAAGGCCTGATGCAGGGTCTCGGGGGAATGTGGCAAGAGGTGCCCCAGTGGAAGCATTCGTATTGTTCCCAAACCACTAGTGTCCAAGAAACGTGGTGGTGACGCCGAGGTCCTAAAGACGACCGACCCTCACCAAGTTTTTGGAGAACGTGGGGATGTGCAGATTTGTGAGGGAGCTAGAGGGAACTGCTGAACACTGGAGTGTAGTAGCGCTCCGTGCGATGACCAGTCCAGATGAAGGGTCGGCCAGGGATACTGCGTCAGGAGCTAGATGCGGTGAGGGGGTGGTGCGGTCGTGGAAGAGGCACTAGGACACGCTAGAGTCCAGAGTGAAGGAGAGGGACGCGTCGGCAGCCCGGAGCTGCTGCTTCTGCTGCTGCTGCGAAGTCACCGCTGTACCCCCAGTACCAGCACCTCCTATGGAAGCACCACCAGGACCAGCACTCCAAGCGTCAGCACTCCAAGCGTCAGCACCCCCCGACGTACCAGCACCTCCATCTCCTCCACGACTACGACCACCCTTGCGCCTTCCCCGCCCACCAGAGAGGGCAGCCACGGCTTCGACCTCCGCCGTAGCAGTAGGCTCAGCAACAGCAGCAGAGGCAACTAAGTTAGGGAGCAGTGGCAGAGCGCACCCCTCAAAGATGGAGAAGGACTACTAAACCAGTGGTGGAGACGATGGTGCGAAGGCGGGTCTCGATCTCATTGAGACTATTCTCAAAGAGATCGATAGGAAGGCGCATGGGGTGCATGGGAGGAGAGAATCTCGGGCAGGCGCGAGGCGGTCAGGGAGGCGGGTCGCGAGGAAGTGCAAGGTGAGATACAAAGGAGGAGGGGGGGGGGGGGGGGGGGGGGGGGGGGGTGCACTGCAAGGTCGTTAGTAGTGCAAGCTGCGTAGAAGCTAGCATCAACCGAGTGCAGGTGGGTAGTGAGGTCAACGACAGTGGAGAACGCCGGGAGATTAGGACAGAGGAAAGGCAGGACGAGGCGCCCTAGAGCAACAGGGGAAGGGGTGGAGTAGCGAGCAATAATAGCATCATAACACTTGTTCGCCATCACGATCTGGAGAAAGTGCACCCGCTCGGTCGGCGGGAGGATGCGACTAAGAGCAAGGCGCGCATCAACGTCACACGACTCCCAAACTGTGTACTCAAGTCGGGCCACGCGGTGAGCCTCCTGCTCCACTATCATGGCCTCAGCAACTCGCTGGGGGGCAGGTAGCTTAACCGACGCATGTGCGTATTGTAAAATTCCACTACTATAGCAGCTTGATAGAGCTCGGAAGCACGAACCCAACGCACCAAATATTGCAGAAAACGCTTAGAAGGTGATAGTGACTTAGTTGATTTCTGGTTTGTGCTCTCTGGTTTTATACTAGAATGCAATACAAAAACAAAGCACACAAGAAAGTCTCGACCCGGGTCGCATGCTGAATTTCGGCGATGCTAAATTATGAGCCTTGAGTTTTGCCGGGCGAATTCCATTTACTGAAATTTAGTAGACGAGAATTTATGCGACCAGAATTCCGTCGACCACCGACTGTAACTCCCGTGCAAATTCCGTTGACTTTGACACTTCGCTGCCGAGTTTCAATGCGAACGTGACCTGAGACCGGTCTCACCAAATTGTCCCCAAAGTGTCATAAAAGGACTTGTTTGGGACACTTGGATCGAAAGGTCTCTAGTTCGAATCTCGCGTGCACCATAACCAGCGCCCTAGCAGAAACTATCCCAAATCTGTCCTGGGACACTTTCAGGACAGATTGAAGGTCACGGGTTCGAATCCCAGCGCCGGCATTGTGTTGCTCATGGCATCATTTCCTTCTAACACGGCCCCTTGCTGTCAGGAGCATGCGGGACCAGTCCGGCTGATGCACATCATCGATTGAAGGCTGCCTTGTTGAGTCGCTTTGTGAATAATTCGGCGGGCTGCACCGTCGTAGGGATGTGCTGCAGCGTTAACTTCTTTATGCGCGCCATTTCCAGCAGCAACATGTGGCGATAATCGACATGCTTCATGCGCCCCTGCAGCCCACCAGCCTGGCTGAGCTGCAGCAGACATGTTGTCAACGTACAGGGTGGTGGGAACACCTTTCTTGAGCAGCTGAAACTCCCGCAGCAGGAACCTTAGCTTGCACCTCTCTTTTCCCGCTTCCATCGCAGCCACAATCTCGCTCTCGGTGGAGGAGAGTTTTGTCGCACCCTGCAGCTTCTTGGCTTGCCAGGAGACGGCAGCTCCGCCAAGTGTGAAGTGGTAGCCTCATGTGGACGACCGGTTCTCCTTGTCGCCAGCATCATCCGCATCTGCATACCCCACGACGGTCAAGCTCTTTGGTCCTCCCTTGAACAGCAGCCCCATGCCCGGTGAGGCAGCCCAGTAGGAGAGGGTGCGGAAGAGCTCATGCCAATGCACATCCGTCCTCAGGTGCGCACCTGCTGCAAGGCGACTGCACACAAAAGAGAGGTCAGGACGGGTAGAGATGGCTGCGAACTGTACCATGCCAAGAATTGACAAGTACTCGGTCATGGTGCGGTCAGCAAACAGCCCGGCATCCTGCTTGATAAAGCTGGCAGAAGCGAGAGGGGTGATGGGCTGCTTCTTCGTTGGCATCCCCTTGAAGAACCGCTGCTGCACCTTTGCTACATATGCATACTGGTGCAGGAGGAGCGTCTTGTTGGGGCAGACGCGCACAATCTGCAGCCCGAGGTAGTGCTCCACTGGTTCCACCTCATGGAGCTAAAACGCCTTGGCCAGTAGCTCCTTCAGGTCATGCAACGGCTGCTTGTCTTCACTTGTCGCTAGCAGGTCATCCACGAAAATTAGCAACCACACGCGCTTCCCGCTCGCCCCATCCTTGTAGTATAGGGCCTGGCCCACAAGGCTCGTCCTGTACCCCTCCACAAGGAGCACCTTGTCCAGCTCCTTGTACCACAGAACGGGACTCTGCTTTAGCTCGTAGAGGCTTTTCTGCAGGAGGCACACCTTGCTGCTACCGTCGGTGAAGTAGGGCGGCTTCTGCATGTAGATCTCATGGTCGATGGTGCTGTGAAGAAACACATTCTTCACGTCAAGCTGGAGAAAGTCCAGGTCCATTGCTGCTGCAATCGAGAGGGGCACGCGAACGTGGGTGTAGCTGCCAACAGGAGCATAGGTGTCGTCGTATTCGATGCCGAAGCACTGGCTGAAGCCCTTTGCCACGAGCATGACCTGTTAAGATAGGCTTTTTAACTCACAGCTTAGTGACCTAAGGTTTAGCTAGGAAGCGTGAGTATCGAGAGAATAGTTTGGCCAAATAGGGGGATTCACTAGCGAGCAAGCAATACAAATAGAAACAAGGCAAGCAAAGAAATTACACCACCAACAGGAAAGCATGATAACTACACTACAGCTACACTGCAAACAGCTACAGTGCAGACATGACCTTGTACTTTTCCACGGTACCATCAGGTCACAACTTCTTCAGTAGCCACTTGACGCCGACAGATTTGCGACCCTCGGGTACAGGGCCCGTGCTAGGTTTTGGGGCATCCTGAGGCCTCAGGACAACTTTCCAGAATCTGAAAAAATGCCCTGATTTGTAAGTGCAATTTTTCAGAGGCTTCCTGTAGTTTCAGGGCTTCTGCAGAAATTTATCCTGGCCTGTCAGGGCAAAAATACGAGTGTTCAGGGTTCTGTTTTCAACAATTCTAGTGGCTCCAGCATTGTCCTACTCTTGCTAACCAATCTACGGTAGAGAGAACACCACAAAGACTAGGCCAGAGAACACCACCGCTACTCTAACAGCAACACTGGAAGGGTGCATGCATGGCATACGAGGAGACGAGAGTGTTGCCTTGCCCAACATGTTCCCAATCTGATGGGTTTGGCTGGTGCGTTGCTTGCATGGCATCGGAACTGTCAAAGGAATCGTGCGAAGGCTGGAAAAAGACACGGGGAAAAAAAATCCATGGGGAAAAAAATCTCTGGGAAAAAAAATTCCCGGGAACGGGAACATCCCCCCTCCCCCCCCACCCCCCCCTCTAAAAACGCGTCAGGGAAAGCCTCGACATTCATCCTGACGCTTCAGGGAAGAACACCACGGCCATCCTGAATGTCCAGGGCATTTCATATAACAACATCCTGAGACAACAGGGTTAAAATTGACACTATTATGAAATTACAGGGCAAATTCAAAACTGCATCCTGATTTCAGGGTAATCAGGAAGTTTTGCCCTGATAACGTGGGGCCTGCTCGGGTAGGCCAGCCAACGTCCACGTGCCTTGCTCGTCAAAGCTCCCCATCCCACCCTTCATAGCAGCCCACCACTCCTTGCCTTCAGGTCCGGTCAATGCCGCTGCCAGGTCGAGGATGACACATTCCCAAGCCCCTTCCTCCTCCTCATCCTCGTCCGAGTACTCCACTTCATCGTCGCTGTCCGTATCGCAATCATCCTCAGCAAGGAATGTCATGTCGTACATGTCCTCATCGTCCGCATATTGGGCCGTCATGGCTGATGCGGGAAACCGTATGGGTGGCATTGTGTGTAATGTTTTTCTTTAATCAATCTTGTCATCTACATTTACTAGGTTCCCACTTCCGCTTGTCAAATTCCAATTGTGTCTCTAGGCTACAGTAGGGTCACTCCTTAGTGAGTACAACACTTTAGGGTTAGGTTTCCCCTACTTGTACTCATCTCTTGCCTAGTTTAATCATTCACTCCTAGTTCTATTCTTAACATGATATCAGAGTAGGAACCGTTCCTACATGGGCCCACCGTTCCGCCTAGTGGTAGCGCCACGCCCTACACAGTAGCCAGCGCGCTGGCGCCCCTAGCTCTCACTGTCGCGACCCTTGCAGCCCGTGCGCTGCCCCTGCGACCGCGCTGCCCCTGCAGCCGTGCTCGCCCCTACGACCGTGCTGCCCCTGCAGCCGTGCTCGCCCCTGCTACCGTGCTGCCCCTGCAGCCGCGCCTGCCCCTGTGGCCCGCGCGCTGCCCCTGCAGCCCGTACGTCGCTCCTGCAGCCCGTACGTCGCCCCTGCAGCCCGTTCACGCTGCCCCTGCAGCCCGTTCACGCTGCCCCTGCAGCCGCGCGTCGCCTCTGCAGCCCGTCCGCGCGGCCCCTGCAGCCCGCGCGTCGCCCCTGGAGCCCGCGCGCCGCCTCTGCAGCCCGTCCGCGCGGCCCCTGCAGCCCGCGCGTCGCCCCTGGAGCCCGCGCGCCGCCTTTGCAGCCCGTCCGCGCGGCCCCTGCAGCCCGCGCGTCGCCCCTGGAGCCCGCGTGCCGCCTCTGCAGCCCGTCCGCGCGGCCCCTGCAGCCCGCGCGTCGCCCCTGGAGCCCGCGCGCCGCCTCTGCGGCCCGTTCGCGCCGCCCCTACAGCTCGCGCGCGGACCTGCCGAGCCGCGCGTCGCCACTGCAGCCCGTACTAGCTGCCCTTGCAGCCCGCACGGCGCCCCTGCAGCCCGCGCGTCGCCCCTGCAGCCCGCACACCGCCCATGGAGCCCGTGCGTCCTGCCCCTGCAGCCCGCGCGCCGCTCTGCCGAGCCGCGCCGCTCTGCCGAGCCGCGCCGCCCAGCCCGAGCCGCGCCGCCCACGCCAACCCGAGCCGCCCTGCTACTACTACTGCTACTGCTGCTGCTCGGTCTACTGCTGCTGCTGGAGGGAGTACTGCTGGGAGTGGTGGAGGTGCGGCCTCCCAGCCCCACCGAACCGCCCTGCTGCCGTTACTACTGCTGCTGCTGCTACTCGTGCTACTGGGAGTGGAGGAGGTGCTGCTGGGAGTGCAGGAGGTGCTGCTGGCGCTGTAGGAGCTGGAGGTGCTGGACCTACTCCTGACCGTCACTGCCTGTCATGGCCACTTCCGCGGCAGTTGCTGCGGCCAGGGGTGGACAGCAGCGGGCACTGCTTCTCCCGGTCGACCCCACCCCTCGGCAGCTTCGTGAGTGGGTTATTCAGCGAGGTCGTCCTGGTGGTGGAGGTTATCGTTCTGTTAGGACTGCTGCTCTTGGTGTTAGTGAGTGTGCTGCCACTCCAGGTGCTAGTGAGTCTGCTGCCGCTCCAGGTGCTAGTGAGTCTGCTGCAGCTCTAGGTGCCCGTGAGTCTACCGACGCTCTAGGTTCTAGTGCGTCTACTACCACAGGTCCTGCCTCAGCTGAGGACTTGCACACTTTCACGCTTGACTCAGGCGCGTCACGTTGCTTCTTTCGTGATCGCACCACAGTCACACCACTCACAGCACCTGTCCCAGTCTCACTAGCTGACCCCTCTGGGGGCCCAGTGGTTGCGAGAGCCTCCACCTGAGGGTGCTGGGACTGAGGGTACTGAGCCTGAGTGTGCTGGGACTGAGGGTGCTGAGACTGAGGGTGCTGAGACTGAGGGTGCTGGGACTGAGGGTGCTGAGCCTGAGGGTGCTGGGACTGAGGGTACTGCGACTTTGGGTGCTGACTCTGGGGGTGCTGAGACTTTGGGTGCTGACTCTGGGGGTGCTACGAGTCCTTCTGGAGGTCCTGGAGCTGGAGGTACTGGAGCTGCTGCTGGCGCTGGAGGTGCTGGAGCTGGAGGTACTAGAGGTGCTTCTGGTGCTGTAGGTGCTAGAGCTACCACTACTGGAGGTACTGGAGCTGGACAGCCACCGCAGCCTGCTCTACTTGAGACGCTCTCGCCGCAGGCGATTCGTGCGTGGGTCGTTCTGCGAGGCAGTCCTGGTGGTGGAGGGTACGGTCCTGCTGGTGCTGGAGCTACTAGTCCAGGAGTTGCTGCTGGTGCTGGAGGTGCTGGAGGTACTACTGGAGGTACTAGAGGTGCTGCTAGTGCAGGAGGTACTGGAGCTGCTGGTGCTTGGGGTGCTGGAGCTGCTGCTGGTGCTGGAGGTACTGGAGCTGCTAGTACTGGAGGTGCTGCCGGTGCTAGAGGTGCTGGAGCTGGAGGTACTGGAGCTGCTGGTGCTGGAGGTACTACTCTTACTGGAGGTGCTGGAGCTACTGGCACTGGAGGTGCTGGTCCTACTGGTGCTGGAGCTGCGGGAGCTGCTGACCCTGGAGGTGCTGGTGTTGCTGGTGCTGGAGGCGTTGGAGCTGGAGGTACTGCTGGTGCTGGAGGTGCAGGAGGTGCTACTGGAGCTGGAGGCACTGGAGGTGCTGGAGGTACTACTGGTGCTCGAGGTGCTGGCGCTGTCGGAGCTCGTGGTGTCAAGCTATATTTGTTATAGCTTATTTGTGTTAGTCTAGGTGTACTTTATGTTTTCCTAGGGTTAGGGTTATGCTTGCTATATCTTGCTTGTTTTCACTTTCCTTAGTCAACACTTATACTTTTGTAACTTCACATGGTATAGAGCGATAAAAAGATCCCATGGGCCCACCGCCCCGTAACGTGCCCTAGCCCGAAGCGCCCTAGCCCGAAGCGCCCTAGCCCGAAGCGCCTTAGCCCGTAGCGCCCCGTCAATCCGTGTCTCGTAGTGCCCCGTACCCCGCGCGCCACCCGTTTTCCCGTCGCCTCACCCGTAAGATCCGTCGCGTCGTTACTCTCCCCCCCCCCCCCCCCCCCCCCCTCGTCGCGACCTGCCCGTTTTCCCCCGTCGCGCCCTACCTTTTCCCCCCGTCGCGCTGCCCGTACATCCGCTCGCGTAGTAGCACGCACCCGTACGAACGGTCGCGCGCGCAGCCGCGTGCGACGGCACACACAGCAGCACACGCAACTGCTCGCCCGTCCGCTCGCACAGCAGCCCGTGCGACCTGCGCGCCGCGCCACCTGCAACCCGTCCCACAGCCTTCCCCGTAGCTCGACGCCCCACCCGTCCCCACTGCCTTAGCAAGCCGCCCCAGCCAGAATAGCCGCCCCTTCCCAGTTCTGCCGCCCCACCCTTAACAGGCCGCCCCAACCAGTTCTGCCGCCCTCACCCGTTCCCGCTGCCTCACCTGTAGCCCGCCGCCCCAGCCATATCTGCAACCCCACCCGTTCCAGTCACCTCACCCAGTACCCTCCCCTGCACAGAACCACACAGAACTGTGCAGAACCGCACAGAACCGCACGGAACCGTGCAGAATCGCGCAGAACCGCACAGAACCGTACAGAACCGTACAGAACCGCACAGAACCGCCGCCTTACCTTCCCCACCCGTCGCCAGCAGCCTAGTCTACCGTCAGGAGCACCACCAGCAACTTAGACTGCCGCCAGTCAGCGCACCAGCAGCAACTTGAACTACCCCCTAGCAAAGCCAGCAACCTTCACCGCCCCACCCGGTCCTCCCCACTGCACCGAACCGCATAGAACCGCACCCGCTGCCCCACCCGTTCCAGCCAGAGCTGCTGCCCCACCCGTTCCAGTCACCTCACCCGGAATCAGCCGCCCCACCCGGTACTCTCCACCCCGCAGAACCGCACTGAACTGCACATAACCGCACAGAACCGCACCCACTGCCCCACCTGTACCAGTCAGAGCTGCTGCCCCACCCGTTCCAGTCACCTCACCCGGAATCAGCCACCCCACCCGGTACTCTCCACCCCGCAGAACCGCACTGAACTGCACAAAACCGCACAGAACCGCACCCGGTGTCCCACCTGTACCAGTCAAGGGCTGAAACCCGCCACCAGCCGCACCAGTAGCAGCAGCTTAGGCTGCCCCAGCGCTCGAGCAGCAGCTTAGACTACCGCTATTGCACCAGCAGCAGCTTAGGCTGCCCCCAGCGGAACCAGCAGCAGGATAGCCTACCGCCAGCAGCAGTTTAGGCCCACCTGCCAGCACCACCCCCGTTTCTAGCCACTCACATGGCTTGTACTCGAGTCCTACAGCAGCAGGGCCAGCCGCAGCACTCCCGGCAGTGGGGACCTGCGGGTCCAAAGTGTGGAGCCCTCAGCAGTGGCTCAGCTAGCAGTGGGCGAGACGTCGGCCCCTGCGGGTACCGGGCCCTGACAGGCCCTGGCGCTGGCACTACCTGCTGGAGTCCTGATCACTCTGCGTCCAGCTGCTACCGTCGACTCGACGACCTTCACCGTGAGCGTTTTGGTCCTCACGCTATTACACCGCACTGGCCCTCGCGACTTCGCCAGCGCACTGCTGCACTAGTTGAGTCTCACCTACCTGGTCTAGGACCGTTCCCGGCTGCACGAGTAGAGACCTATGTTTCCAGTCTTGGTGCGTGTGTTGTTTCCAATCCAGGCGCCTCTGAGGGCCTTTGTGTAGGAGCTGCAGCTACCACTAGTCTAGCACTAGCCTTTGTAGCTGGTTCGGGTGCGACCCCACAGACTGCACAGCTTTCCTTCACCCTAGACTCTGGAGCGTCCAGCTGTTTCTTTCGCGACTGTACTGACCTCACACCACTGCGCACTCCAGTCACTGTCGCCTTAGCTGACCCCTCTGTGGGACGTATAGTTGCTCGCAGCACCACCACTCTCCCGTGTCCGGCGGCTCCCTCAGGTTTTCTTACAGGTTACTACACCCCCTCGTTCTCTAGGAACCTGGTGGGTGTCAGTCACCTCCACGACCTAGGTGTAGTCACCACTTTCCCACTGGATGAG